TCATACATGAAGATGCTGAAGAGCGCAGGGAAGACTTGATACAAAGACTGWCCTGACAGGACTGACCTCATCCACGTAGTTCGGAGTAACGAAGCAGAATGCCAGAGTGCTACTAACTAGCCCAATCAATGTTGAGCTCAGACTAAACATGCATTGTATCCATCACCGAGTGTGAAGGAGCCTGGCGCTGTAACACAGGAAGCAAGCGCCAGGTCCAGACATACACAGACAAAGAGGTAAGGATCAGACGAAAGGAGGGAGGAAGATGGGARTGTCGTTAACACCAAGTCTTGGTCACCAATCCCAAATAGTCCCTCGTTACCATGTCTGAATCCCCAAAGTCGAGTCTGGATCATATGTCACCAAGCCCGGTATCTCTTCTCTCGTAGTCTGGAACTGCAGGGAAGTCAGAAGTTGAGAGGGTCAGAAGAAGATGGTAGACTGAGAAGAGGAAGAAGAGAACTCTCTCTCTCTCACTGTTACGAACCAGGTACTAACCTGTGATGTTGGCGCTGTGCTGCAGGTACCTTGAAGACGAAGCTGGAGCAACGGCGCTGCAGGTAAGTGATCCCTGGCCTCCGCCCATCATCTCTACCACTACCTAGCTATGGCGCCCAACGCCGAAGACTACAGCTACCTACTGCGCCCAGCGCTGAAGACTACTAGCTAATGCTACTCTACTACAACGCAGCGCTCCCTCCAGAGTGCTGCTCCCGAATCCTGAAGACTACAACTGCCGAACTGCCTACCTCGGAAGTGCCTGGGAAGTCCTATGTACTACCTCGGCCTGCCTCCTGACTGCAGGAGGGCGAGCAGGCCGAGGAGGCAGCTCTTGCCAATGCCGAAGTGTGCCAGGGGCTGGCGTGCAGCAGCCTGCTCGAGGCTGGCGTGGGAACAGTCTAAAGATAGGCTGTTCCCCAAAACCCTGGTTTGGTGCCTGCGTTTCAGGGCCGGTCGTTCTGATGAACGACCGAATATGGCCCTTCGTTTCAGGCTAAAAAGGCTGTTGCCATTTTTAGTCTGAAACGACCCGGGATAGGCCCTGAACTTCAGGCTTTTGGCCTGAACCGACAGGGGTCCTGTAAGCCCTGGATTTCAGGCTTTCGGCCTGAAGTTCAGGCTTTTAGCCTGGACGGACGCGGGCCTGCAAAATGGCCCGTGTGTGCACGCGCTGCATGTAACACAAATGACTTGAAAATTTATAGGCATGTACCTCACGCCATAGAGAACTCACAAAAAAAAATTCAGAAAAAAAAAAGTATTTTTAGGTCCCCAAATAATTTTTGGCGGGGGCCGAACGTCATCGGGTTCGGACCCCGTACGGGACCCCGAACACTCGTACGTACGGAGGTCTGACCGGGGACCTCCGTGCGTACGGGCTGGTGACCCTGTATATATATATAGGGTTCAGCCTCCTGATGAGTCGGTGAAACTCCGACGAAACTGTTTGTCACAGCCCCTCGTTTGTTGT